TAAGTCGTAGTATATCGATACGTGACGATTCGGGCGAACAACGCGAAAATACCGAGGGAAAAACGGAAGAAATGAAAAAAAAAAAAAAAAAAAAAACAGTACGACGCGTCGGAAAATGCGTTGTCCCAAAACTTCGTCATTCTGAAACATCGTTTCTGCACGATATTCGAGCGAGTACGTGTAGTTCCGACAATTCGCGGTATTGAAATCGAATGAATACGTTCTAGCTCCAAAAATGTGTGATCCCGAATTTTCATACTTTTTTTCATCTTGTAAATAAAAAAGAGAAGTGTAATTTTCCTTCATATTCACTCATATGTTTTCCAGGCTTTCCCCGATTCTTTATTTCGCTATTGTAAAATTTTCGGGATTTCGCATGACCTTCGATATTCCATGGAAAAATGACATTTTTTTGTGTTATTTCACACTTCCAATTTCGGAATTACGATTTTTGCAGTATTTTAAACGTACGTTTATTAGAATTCACGTGAAATGTCCCGTTCGAGGAATTAAAACCGCAGGAATGCCCTTTCTGAGCGACGCGACTCATAAAGTTTCCGTGGAACATTTTATCCTCATTAATGGCGCCTTTGGAAACATAATAGCGGTTCGCTGAAAATCGTTCTCGCTGCTCGCCTTGGCCCTCCTCAACACTCTGATTATAAAGTGATTAAGGAATAAAATTCCAGTGCAGCGGGTAGCGCGAGACATTCGTATGGTCGCTGGCAAAAAGGGCTCCACGGTGATTAGGACGATTTTATTAATTAAAGAGTATTCACGGTCTCACGCGTTTATAAGGCGCTATCGTACCAATAACACCATCCTTCACCGTGTGAGGCAATTAAAACTATCGTTATAAAGGATCGTAACACGTGTAATCTTATATCCAGTCCGCTTCTCGCTAATGAACAAAACATAATGTGCTTTTGATTATGATAGTTAACGCCGGAGATGCATGTTACACGAGGAAAATCTAACCGGAGAAAAATTGATATGATTCCTCGTTATCTCACAAATTGAACATATAAATATTCATTAATTATATCACACAAGACAAATCAAAGCTGCATCGTATATTTCTTCATGTCTCAAATTTTTTCGAAAAATTTAACAGCAATTTTCTTTATTACGCGTAAAGGAAGAATGACATCATTATGCGAACATATCCAAGATGCAAGGACAACTCCATTGTCGAACGATCGAAAAACGAGGGGACACCGTTCATTGCGGTTCATTATACAACCCAGCTTGCCCTTTCGGCGAGCGATGACGTCGGAGAGAAAAACCTTGGCAATCGCGAGACTCGTTTCTTGCGGCCCGACCCTCCTCGGTTTTATTCATTTTACGACCTTGCTCTCCACAATCCATCGCCTCGGGTGCTTTCTTCGCGGAATCTAAGATGCGCAGACAGATTCACAGACGACCGGGGTATATGTTAATCCGGTTGAGATTACGTCGTCGTAAAGGCGTCGGGCCGTAATTCCCGTCTTTCCACCGAGAAGAAGTGCGACAGATCTGAAAGCGGCCTTTATACGGTGGTTCCCGCCTCGGCGTTCTCGACGATTCTTCAACAGCTTCTTCAACCGCCGTATTGAGTCGCAACGGAAGAAAAAAGGTGAACCTGGTTACGTTTCCGTCGCAAACCCGGATGCTGCCCGTGATATTTCCGTGATTTGCAGCTCCTCCGCTTGCGCGAGCGATAATTAAGGCGCCCAAGTAATGGACATTAATAAATTACCATGACGTTACAAAGGACAGGTGTGCGCGAAGTTAAATGTCAGAGCGGCCGTTGTTGCGCCGTTAATCATCGTCGAGAGAAGAAGAAAATGCAGTGCAAAGATTAACACGCCGGTTTAATTAAGATTCACGCGGTGAACGATTTATCGCTACAAATGTATTAGGAGAGCAAAACTCGTACAGCATAATGCTTCTAGATTTTCCCGAAAACGCTGTGAAAATGTTGATATTTATTCGATATGTATTTGTTATTATATTTTTATAATTATAATCATAATATTATATTGTAGATTTACCGTACTGTTTTATATTTTTCTACACAGCGCCGCGAAAGCAACACGTGTGGTTTACGTGTGAGTACGTTATTTGCATCGATTTTTTTTTTTATAAAAAATAGAAACGCGGCGGTGTTTTAAAGAATGCACCGTCGGGACGATCGCACGGTGCTTGTAATAAATGCAATTACGGTAATAATCCCGCGGTAGGCAATAATGCCGTACGCAGTCGCGCTAGATGTGGCAGTATGCGGGCGACTCCCACGTTTATATTACGCAATCAGAATAGTGCCAGCAGATATCGTATGTAACTGTGTGTAACTAATGCAGTATTATATGCGCTATGCGATATTAATGCACCGCCAGATCCAATTTACTGCTATTAATGCGGTATAGATACGTCGTCATTTCGGAGCAGCCATCTTGGACGCGATGAAATCTGAAATCAAGTATTTGTCATACTTCACCCGGCGCCGCCAGGTAATTACCATAAAACGTGGCCGTGAATCCATTAACTATGTTGATTGGAGACGATTGTGCATCGTCATCCTCTATGCGACGTGCGCTACACATATCGTGTCGCCCGGTCGAAGTCATATCTCCCTGAAAATGTCAGGCAACCGTATTAATGCGTTTCTACTCTATTTCATTACCCGCCAGGAAAATATGGCTCGATAATTGAATTCATTCTGTAGCCGTTTAAATGTTTGTCACACTCAAGAAAATATTGACAATTAGGGGCGCGATCGTATAAATTGACAAGCAATTACGTCGGCGATAAAATAGGGAAGAGTGATGCTATCGAATTGCCATAAATGTTGCTTTTATTTCTCTCCGTTTCGAGTCGGTAAATCAATGGCAAACTTGTTGCTTGGTTCATAAAGTATACAAAAATAGATTAAGATATCAGAGATAGAGAGAAAGAGAGAGAGAGAGAGAGAGAGAGAGATGACAATTATCGGAACATAAAGATATTTAAACCTCACGTATCGCCAAGATTTTGGGAGTGCAATTGACAGAAAAATAATATTTCGATAGATGAACCGATAATCCGAGTACTCGATATTCCTGTGACAAGCTGGTTTATCGCTTTAACGATCTTTCACCTTGTCCCGTTTGTTATAATTTTAATAAAATGTAGTTTGAAAGAATTGATTTTACGGTAATAATGTCCTCTTCTCGTAATGGCGTAAGAGAAAAGAAATGAATAGCAATTGTTCCAGAAAAAGGTGTCCGCTTGTTATCTAAATTAGCATTATTTCTCCTTTTTATCGTTACCATAAAATCGCCCTAAGTTCCTTTCGCTTTATTATCAAGTCAATGTTGCGAAAAACTAGAGAGAACAGACTGGTCCACTTCGCTTATTTCGATTCAATTTCAGCAGAGACTTATTTACTACATGATAAATAAATTTGATCGTAGTACATTTCCGCGCGATCAAATATATGCAGATAGTCGAGATGAAGTTAGTATTGAATTTTTTTTATAAGAGATGTGATGT